AACAGAAAGAATCAAGGAACTCAAAAGACAGGTCTTTTGAAATTATCCAGTCAGAGGAGCAAAAGAAAAATGAATGAAAAAGAGTGAAGAAAGACTACAGAACATAGGGATATCAATAAATGACAGAACAAACATTATTGGAGACCCAGAAAAATGAGAGAGAGAAAAGGGGGCAGAGAATCTATGTAAAGAAAAAATGTCTGAAAACACCCCAAATTTAAAAAATATGGATATCCAAATATCCCCAAGCATATGCAGACCAAAGAGGACTTCACCATGACACATTATAACCAAACTTTAAAAATCAAACAAAAAGAACTTTGAAAGCAGCAAGAGAAAAGACTTCAATCAAAGTGGAACCCCATAAGGCCATGAGCAGATTTCTCAGTAGAAACTTCATAGGCAAAGAGAGAGTGAGACGATGATGTGTTCAAAATACTGAAAGAGAAAAAAACCGTGAACCAAGAATACAATACATGGCAAAACTGCCTGTCAAAGAAGAAGAAGAAATAAAGACACTCTGTAACAAATAAAAGCCGAGGAGAGCTCTTCAAACTGAAGTAAAAAGGTACTAACAAGGAAAAACATACAAATGAATAAAACTCAGTAGTAAAGGTGAATATATAGTCAAATTCAGAATACTCTAGTAATGTGATAGTGGTATGTAAAACACTGTAGCCTCTACTGTAGAAGTTAAAAAATAAACATAATAACTGCAGGAGCAACAATTTAAAAATAGATACACAATATAAAAGATGTAATCTGTCATATCAATAACCTAAAATGTGAGAGAGGAAAAAAGTGTAGATTTTCTATTCAGCTGAATTTAAGTTGTTACCAGCTTAAAATAGGATGTTACAACTGTAAGGTATTTTATGTAAGCCTCATAGTAATCATAAAGGAAGAACCTGCAGAAGACACAAGAGAAAAAGAAATGAGTCAAAGCATAATGCCACAAATAGTTGTTAGATCACCAAGGAAGACAGCCAGCGAGGAGGAAGGTAACAAAGTAACGAAAAACCAAATAGAAAACAACCGACTGAAAGGCACTAGTAAGTCCTGACCTACAATAATTACTTTAAATGTAAATGACTTAAATTCCCAAGTCAAAAATCAGAGTGACTGAATGGATGAAAAACAAGATTCAACAATAAGTTGTCTAAAAGAGAATCATTTTAGCTTTAAGGACATGCAAAGGGTGAAAGTGAAGGGAAAGGGATAGACATTCCATGCAAATGAAAACCAAAAGATTGGAGGGATGATTGTACTTACATTACATAAAGTAGACTTTCAGTCAAAAACTGTCACAACAGACAAACGAGGTTACTATATAAAGACAGAAGGGTCGCTTCATCAAGAAGATATACAAATAGTAAATATGTGTGCTCCCAACATCGGACGCCTAAATATATGAAGCAGATATTAACATAAATGAAAGAAGAGATAAACAGCAACACAATAATAGTGAGGGGCTTTTAATACCCCACTCTCAACAATGAGTAGATCATCCAGACAGAAAATCAACAAGGAAACATTGGACTTGAACTATACTATAGGTCAGCAATTTTCAACCTGTTTCATCTCATGGCACACATTTATTAAAAATATAAGACTAATGATCCTGTGCTTAAATATTGTTATGATTGTGTGCTGGCTTCCATAAAACATAACTAATCATAAGGAGCTTCTCAACAAATATACTCTGGACAGAAGTGAAAAAGGTCAACAGAAATCACTGACAAGGCAGGGCCACTGCAGACGTAATTCCCTTATATAATTAATAGTTGCTAGAAAATGGAGTTTGATGTTGTTTACAATTACACCAACATTCATGGAGAATGAATATCACAGGCATAAGAAATGTCTTTTCATACTTCCCAAATAGTTTTCTACTTTAGCTATTACCAGAACCCAACTTGTTCTTACTGTCCATTGAGTCAGAGTCTCTTCCATCTTTCTGGGCCTATTCATTTGCAGATTCGTTTGCAGAGTAGAAACTGTAGCCAGGTTCTTCATATCATGCATTCCCACGCGATGTCCAATCTTTATATGCTGCCCAGTTTCTATAAGATGAAAGGAGTGACTTGCATCAGGGCCACATAGGTGAGGAAGTTCCATATGGAGGAGATACCATCCTCATGCGTCTTCAGTTTCATCTTCTCAGGGTCCAGCTTTCATGAGAGGCCCTCGATATGGAACATTGTGGCTCTGTCTCATCGGCTTCCAGCTAATTCACTCTGCTTTTCTGTGTATTGTTTTCTTAATTTCCTTTAGTTGTCCATGTTTTCTTGTATTTCATTTGACTTCTTTAAGATGATTATTCTGAATTCTTTGTCAGCTCATCAAGCTCCATGTTTTAGGATTTGTTATTTTTGGTGGTGTATTGTTTCCCTGATTTGTCATTATCTTTGTGTGCTTGCATTAGTGTCTGCACATTTGCAGAAGTGGCCATCTCTTCCCAGTCTTTATAGGTTTGTTTTGGTAGGGAAGGACTTTCACCAGTTAGCCCAGCTTGTGGTTTGAGTGGGCCTCTTGGTAGTGTCTGCGGAAAGGTGGTGGCGCTTGCTGCTGGGGTCTTTGGTGGATGGGGCTGCTGTCCATTGACTGAGGTCAGGTGGGGTTGCTGGCTGGACTTCACTGTCAGGCAGGACCACTTGTTGGGCTCTGTGATTGGGCAGTGCTGCACGCTGGGCTCGTAATCATCACCAGTCAGTGTGGATGCAGTCTGTCCTACTGGATGGGCTGGTGCCTCTGACTGAGTTGGGTTCAGGCAGGCTGCAGGCTGGGCTCCACGATTTGGTGAGGCTGAAGGCTGTTCTGTGCGTTCGGGTGGGGTTCCAAGTTGGCTTTGTGGTGGTGGGCTGGCGCCCGTAGGTCTTGCCATTCGTTAGTGCGGGGTGACTTGCTGACTGGATTCCCGGGTTGGGCAGGGCTGCAAGCAGTGCCTTGCAGTTGGGTGTGGCTGTCGTTTGGACTCCACAGTGGGTTAGGGTCGCTGACTGTGCTCCCTGGCTGGCTGGCCTGCTCACCGGGACTGCAGCGGGGCGAACTGATGGTCGTGCCCCTGGCCGCATGTGGGCGGGTAGACCTGTTGGCTGGGTTCTCTTGTTGGGCAGTGTCACCAGCAGGAACATGGTGCCACCTCCAAAATCCATTCACTCGTTGCTCTGTGCCCTGTCCCCCTTCTTTGCTACTAGGTGACTTAAGGGGGCTTATCTCTGCCATTTCCACAGTGTTCCCTGAGGCAAGACGGAGATGTTTGCCTCCAAACGCTGGAGAAGCTGGATATCCATCCTGGGCTTTTATTTTTTACCTATTGGAGGACCAGTGCGATTTCTCTCAGCTTTTCTGTGCCACCAAAACCCTTCAGTTGTTGATCCCGAGTGCTTCAGAGGGATCTGTGTCAGTGCCGCTTTCTCGCTGTTGCCCACCCACAGCGGCCGCTGCCGGTGCCCGGGGAGGCTGCACACCCCTCCTGGGCTTGTCCCTCTCACTTCTGCTTGCCCCCAGTCTTCGGTGGACTCACCTGACACACTTGGTGAATACCTGCGGGCGGGTGTGGACTCTGTTACAAGTTGTTCCTGGAATTTTAGTTTATCGCCGCGGTGCGCATGGTCATTCGGGGCTTGGCCCCGACCCGTCTGAGACAGATTCTTGAATCTCCTGTGTCTTTTTCAGGCGCCCAAACATCCATAACCCCTTTTGTCTCATGAAAGTCTTGTCACTTTCTGCAACTTAATTCATTTAGATTTCATTTCACCCTGATTTATTTATTTATTTATTTATTTATTTATTTATTTATTTATTTATTATTACTATTTTAAACTATGATTTTGTAGTTAATCTGGCTTATTTTGGCTAGTGTGAGAGTGATTGTTACCTCTTGTAAACTTCTTTTACTTAATACCAGGAGGGATTTTTAAAAAAATCCTTCCTGTGATACTGCTTTAAAAAACAGGATATAGCTTCATCAACCTTATATTTCTTATAAAATTAACTGTAATGATAGGTAACGTTTGTTAAATACCCTCAGAGTGCCAGTCAGGTACCTCAGTGAACACTTTAAATGCATTATCTCGTTTAACACTCTATAACCTGAGAATAGTTATTATGATATCATCTCCATTTTCCAGATGAGAGATTAAGTAGGAAGGTCAATATTACACAACCAGTTAGTGACGCTTTTGAATTCATGGTTGTGTTTCTGGAGCAGAGGTTGCAAATTCGCATCCCTAGTTTGGGCAGGCATGTGAGGTAAATGAGTGCATTGAGGAGGGTCTAAGAAATAAAGCAAGAAGCGTGATGGGTGGCAGTTAACATTCAGCATGGATACTGGTGAAAAAATAAAGAGTAATCAATTTTGTGGCAGAGTCTCTTGGAGAACACATTCAAGGGGTTGGTCACGTCTCAGCTCCAGTCAGTTATTGCCTGTGTGAGAATATGGGTCCAGTATTTCAGATTTTCTGATTTTTCAGTAGAAGCCAGAAATCTCTCTTTTTCATATGAAACCACTCAGTTTCTGAATGCTAGCTGGTGGTTCAAATAAAACTAAAATAAAATCCAGTATGCAGACCTACATGGTGAGTCCAAAATAAAACATGTGTAGGCCCAGCTTGTTCTCTGGGCAGCCAGTCTGCAATCTCTGTAATAGAGCCTGAGCTCTGTTAATTTAGCCGATCACCTGTCTCTCAGTGGCCTCCTTAATGCCTTCCTCTCACGTATGTGCTGTAAAGTAAGGAAGTGAGGACCAGCTCTTGAATGAATGTGTTTTGTTTACTGCTGTTATGCTGGTGTGTTTGTTTAGATACAAGCTGCAATTCTTAGAAGCATATTTTTTAAAAATCCTGAATTCTTTATCTGCCTTAAAGTAGTAGAATTCTATTATAAGGCATATCTTACTGCATTAAGATGTGAGAATCCAAGTATCACTGAAAACATAGTTTGTTCTTGTTCATTAATCGTGATTCCCCCTCTCTTCTGCCCTGTCTTTGTTGACCTAGCTTTCACTTTCGGAAGAACAGAACGACGTTACGAAGAACGGCTGTGAATCTAAAGAGCTCGTCTACCTCGTGCACATTGCTTGTCAGGTAATTTTGTGGGTGTGTTTTCCATTGCACATAAAATTTAATAAGAATTGTTTCGAGCAATTACTAAATTACTTCCTGTAATGTGTTTCTCATATTGCCTAAAGAATCTACAGAAAAATACTTGCACAGTATTGAAATGAAATTGGACTATGAATGACTATTGTTAAGAAAATAAATGGCATCCTTTAAAAAAGAGAAATAAATGTGTTTATACAGTACTAAATGGAATACGCAGTTTACTATGACACCTCCCGTATCTTCTCTGCATTTTTAGAAAGTTCTTAAGGCTTTAGACACTTGTGAATTAATCATAGTGAGTATGGTAACACAGCTGTTTCGTTTTCTTTCTTCTGGTCATTTTGGCATTTCTGTATGTACTCAGAGTTGAAACAATCCATTTAAAAGAATCAGTTTTATAGATAATTTACTACAAACTTCAGTGGACATTCTTCTTGTAAGAGTGAGGGAAATATATTGTTTCTGGTAAGGTAATAAGAGCACACATAATGAAAGAGCAGACTAAGTTGTCCCTGCCTCAGATGCTCGCGTTTCCAACCAAGATGGTGAATTCCGCGGCGGTATCTTACTGGAATGTGTGTGGTTTGGAAGTGTGCTATTTCTTGATGCTTAGAATTCGAACTTTTTTGAGGGTAATGACCATGACTTGTTTTTAATGAGATTTAAAATATGTCATATGTAGCATTGGTTATTTCCTCCATCAGGGAATCAGTTAATATCGTTTCTTTAGCCCATGTTCATTGAGTCTCCTGCCTGTTTTTGTGTCATTGTCAAGCAAGTGTTTTCAAGGAAAACTTTCTTACGTACAAAGCTTTTAGTTTTCTTTGGGAGAGAGTAAGCTAGGGGCATTTATGTTATTTTCCTCCCCCAAAAGTATTATTCGTGAACCTGAAGTTAAAAATGAAATAACCTGGAAAAGTCTAATGCTTATCTCATATGGGAAAAACTGAAGTTCTTAGTCTTGGTGACTGTAAGGAAAACCTTTCAGAATTAAGTGCTTTTATTTATAGGTGTCAGAGTGTGATGCTGGAAACTGAGTTTTGCTTTTATATTAGTGAGGTGTCCAAAGTCACATATTGTTTATCCATGTTTTATTGTATGTCATCTTGGTTCCTGTGCGGAAGGGGAGCTCAGAATCACTAAGTTTCATGTCATATTTTATAAAATTTCTCTATCTGGTGAGTTAATTTTTAAGTGAAAATATTAAGTGCTTTTATGACGAACCTTTACTAACAGAAGAAGATAAAACTATCTTCTTTATCTAGAGTACATGGTTGGCATGTCATAATGAATTTATTAATCCCTCTACAGCCTAACACTTTTTTGCATCTTTTCTTCTCACTATTTATTTCCATTATGTTCTGATAATGCAAATATTTTTAATTCTCCTAAGCAGAACACAGTGTCACAAATATCTGTGCTGTTTTTTGAAAATGACCTTCAAAAGTTATCCGTGGTATTTTGATACCATACATTAGAATGTATAATTATTATTTGATAATGCTTCCATGAATGGTGACCTAGATAGTAAGGCTACTTCCTGGTTGTAAATATCTTGTCAAGCTGCTTAGAAAATTTTAGACTACGTGGTATACTACTTATTACATCAAAGTAGTAATTTACTGCATTGTAATAATGCCATCACACTGCTCTGCCTCAGTGTAAGTAGTCATTGATGCGTTCCCATGGCTCACCTTCTGTGTTCTTGCCGTATAGCTCAGCCATAAACCATATTAAACGAGAACCATATTTTTTATAAGTAAGAGACTCAAACCCTCTAATTTTGCAAACGAAGAAACTGAGGCCCAAATGACTGAAGTGGCTCTTCTAAGCTGTGTGAAATCTTAGCAGGAGCTACTAAGGACTTCAGTTTTCTGATTGCCAGGTTTTCCTGCATCAACTTGGAATTCTCAGGTAACAATGGATTTGGGGGATTGCTTAGTGTTCAGATAAGATAAGGTCATGACACACCCATGTAATCTATCCATTCCAGAAGCTATTTATGCACATATTTCATGTCTCTGCTAATTTCTAATTTTAATAATGTCCTCTTGAAATTCTTTTTATTTAACCAAAATTCTCAGTCTTTCATCTTAACCCTCTCTCCTCTTGTTCTTTTATCTTAGAAAATGGCCAATTAAATAGTGATCTTTTCCCTTTCTGTACATTAAGGTCTTATCTTTGAACATTTTAATTGTGTCTTTGCCTCTGCCTGCCCTTTGAAGTTTTAATTTCTTTTTAAATTTTGAACCCAGAAATGTAAACCATGTTTTGCACTGTGAACTGATCCAGATTCAGTGGGCATTTTCCATCACCTGTGTGTACTACACAGATAGGACATGCAGTATATCATTTAGTTCTTACAACGGTCTGTGAAGGAAATAGTCTGGTTTCCATTTTACAGATGATGAATCTAAGACTCAAGAATCTTAATTAAAGAGAAAGACCAAGATTTGAACCTCAGTCTAGTGGGGTTTTTTTGTTTTGTTTCTTTCACCATTTTTTAATATGATTTATACTTGGTTGGCTACTTTGAACTTTGTGAGCATATCCCAAATGTTAGTAAAAGGCACCGAAACTGACCATCTAAGTTTCTTTGCATGACTTAATGGATAGGGCCTAGGTGGCACTCATGTATAAATAAAGATACTTCCAGAGAAAACTTGAAGTGGAAGTCTCAAATCGAGAGCCTGTGGGGGAGAGTCTAGGCCAGCTGGCTTTAGTCCCAGGCCAAGAGACTATATAATCGGAGTGACAGTAAAAATATTTAACAGCTGGCATAGCAGGGGCCAAAGCAATTGAACAGATACTGTCATAAAAGCCTTGGTTGTCCACGTTGGTGTGTCCCAGCTGAATATTAGCCATGGACAAAACTACTCTCCTTGGTTGGTGCCTTGAAGAATAGATTTTTAATGTGCTACCTGATCCCTCCCTCTTATATTAATTATTATTTAGAATAAGTTATGTTAACCAGCATAGGCGTGCTGTGCCTCAGATATTCCCTCCCTTATCTTTTTTTTTTCTATTCTCCAAGTAAATAAACTGGGGAAGAAAAAGTGTTATGTAGAAAAAACTAGTTAGCTAGTGTGGATGCAGAACACTTTCCAGTTTGTATCATATTTATCTGAATGGGAATACCTTCCCCCGAAAATTGTACTAATTTTTTCTCTGCATTTTCTGTACTTTTCAGGAAATAGTGTATTTAGTTTGAAATCAATGAAAATTTAAAAATATCTTAGGAAATTCAGCAATATATCAAGGTAGATATAGGATAAACTTTTATTGTTCCAAATGTTGAAAATTTAATAATTTAAAAGATCAAAATTAGACAAACCCCGCCACTAATTATATTGAGTCCCGCTCTGTAGAATAAAGCATTTATAAGCATAATGACTATGGTAGTGAGTCTTAAAAGTATTCTGTAGTCTACTGTTTTATTCTTTAGCAAATAAGCAAACATCAGCTTTTAAGGGTTAATTTCAAAATGGCAATTTTAAACCTAGCTGTTACAAGAATTTATTCTAAGGTGCTCTCTCACTCTTGTGAAAACCCTGTTCTGATCTTTCCCTTCTGTAAGTACAGTTTTGTTACTGTAAGAATAATTGTTGCTTCATAAAATACTAAGTATTTTATTGTCCCCTGGCAAGCTTTAGAGTAGTTGACATTAATGTTTCTTACTGAAGTTGGATTGTATTAACTACCTTTATATTTTAACCAGAATTCATCAATATAATAGTTCATTTTTTCCAAAGATCAAGTTTGTCATAAATATTTACAGTAATATGAAGGCTTCATTATGTCCCAGTTGGTGAGGTAAACAGCTGGTTTTAGGGGAATGCTTTTCTACCTCAAAATATCTCCTGTATTTTGATGCTTGAAATTCCACCATCAGAAATGTATCCCTCAGTACTAAATATGTCCTCTGCTCAGTCCATTGAGAAAATGCTGTTGCCAGGGGTGGGGTGGCGTAGTGACATCTCCAGAGCATCTGTATGAACAGAATGCATAGGCTGATTGCAGCCCTTCTGTAATCCTCATGCCTCTGCTGGGAAATGCAGGTGTTGCTTTTCCCACACCGCAGATGAGTAGCTGCTGCTCATAGGTGCTCGGAAACTTGTGCAAAGTCCTGGATCCTGGGTAAGGCTGAGATTTAAACCAGGCCTCTCTCTTTTCACTGAACATCATACAGGTAAAAACGTGATTCACAGCATTGGGTTTTTTTTCAGATAGCTTTCCCATGATAAAGAGACTTCCCAAGGACAAGGGTAAAGATTGTTCTCAGAAAGAACAGCCCATATATCTAGAATTTGACTATCTCTTTCCGTCTCTGTTATTACCAGGCTAGCACAAGCCACGCTCTCTTGTTGAGCCACTGTGATAGCATGTGTGTTTGAACTGTATAATTGAGTATAACCCTCTAAACTACCAAAATGACGTAAAGTGTAAATCGAAACATGCTGCTTTTGTGTTTAAAGCTCTACAATAGATTTTCACTGTATTTAGAACTAAACCCAAACTACTGCTTAGCAAGGCCTATGAGGACCCTGCGCCCCATGGAGTTGCCTGCCTCTTCTGCACCATGTCATGACTGTCTTCTCACTCCTGGGCTCTGGGCACACCAGCCTTCAGCCAGTTCTTAAGGCATGAAGTTCTTTCCTGCAACAAGGCACTGGACTTTGATGAGCCCGTGACTGTTCACACTGAGCACTTGCTGTGTCTAGTTCCTTCTCAGTTTTCTGGATGCGGTTTAGATTCACATCCTCAGAAAGGCTTTTCCTGACCACCCTAAAAGAAGTAGGTTTTTGTTTATTTCTTTCTAGTACAAAACTATCATTATTTCATTTTTATATGTGTTTACTATAAAAAGCAGAAATCAGAGGGTTGATGGTCCTTTCTCCGTTGCATCTTCAATGCTTCCTCCAGCGCTTAGCACTCTTCAGGTGCTCTGTACATGTGCATCGTAGAAATGTGATCCTGTACAC